ATACTATATACACACACACACACACACACACACACACACATATATATATATATATATATATATACATATACATATACATATACATATACATATATATATTTATATACATACATACATACATACATACATATTTATATTATATATATATATATTAAAGTAAAATGAATAAAATTTAAATAAATACACACCTCTTGCTCATCTGGGAAGACCTCCCGCATTTCAGTTATTTGATGCGCGAAAGGATCCATTTCCACATTAGAATCCCTTGATTCAAGCGTAGACTGATGAACATTTTGATGGGTAAGTATGAGGAAAATTAGCGAAGTGTGTATACCGGATAATTTGAACTCCTAATGAACTGACGAGTATAGATAGTAGACAATCCGCGAAAAAAAATATTGACCTTTTAACGAGCAGCCTAGTGCAAATACTGGGGCACTGGACGAACTGATATTCCAACCTAATGCTAAGTGAAGCAAACCAACGGCAGAGCTAAAAATACAAACATACATTTGAGTGTTAATACTGACGCAAACACACACCGAAGTGAATCATATACACTCTAACTCGCACCCACACACCCACACACACACTCACACACACCTACATACACCTACATACACCCACCCACACACTCACAAACACACTCACACAATCCCACCCACACCCACACACCCACAAACTCACACAGCCACCACCAGCCCCATACCGCACGTGGCTCCTGCGTGGTCGTCTGTAGCTGTCGCTGTGAATGGCACACGAGTTTGCACTTGTACACCTTGGCCTCGCGTCGTTGGCCATAGCTCAACGCCGCTCCCCCGAGACACACCCCACACAGCAGCACATACAGTACACTCACAGCCGCACCACCCACGGCCAGGGGTGTGCCCAGAGCCAACATCGCCAGCCACACAAACGGGACTAACGTGTCGTCTTCGAGCCAAAGCGTGGTGATGGTCGGTGCTGGGGGGTGGTGGCGGGTGGGGGTGGGGGGGGGTGGTGTTGAGGTGCGAATAGGGTGATGGGGGGGTAGGGAAGGTCACTTCTATAAATAGATGACAGGTGGTAAGGTGGGTGTATGTATGTTGGTGTTGTGTGTGTGTGTGTTTGTCTGCTTGGGACAGACAGCACGTGTGTGACGTGTGGTTGGGCATGTCCAGCTTGATTATGGGCAGTGGTTCTACATCGCGCGTGGGACAAGGTTTCACATTACAGACTCTGAACAGACACGTATTGCCTATGGAACTATCACTCGTGTCTTTGCACCACACCTTTCTTATGGCGCATGGCTGTCTGTGTGTCTTGATATGTAAGTTTGTTCGCTCCCCCCCCCGCCTGGGCATTCCTGTTGATCTTCACGGCGTAGTCTAAGCTGAAGTCAAGCTTAACCATGTTCACCTGCAGCAGTAGTGTTCACAATAAGACAGTTGCGTTTTTTAGGGTTTAGGGTTTAGGATTTAGGGTTCTGTTTGCTCGCCCCAGCACCCCCCTGGGCATTCCTATTGATCTTAACGGCGTAGTCTAAGCTGAAGTCAAGCTTAACCATGTTCACCTGCAGCAGAAGTGTTCACAATAGGATGGTTGCGTACAACGTTGTCAGACAAGGGCCGCACTTCCACACCAATAGTATGACGAGCATTTGTGTGGTACTTCTCTTAGTTAGAACCTTAAACCCTTCGTGATTGAGGGATTTACGAATTTAGGGGTTTAAGGTGTTAGGGTTTTAAGGTTTTAGAGTTTATGTATGTTTGAGATGGTCTGTGATATTCGAGGGATTGGGTATTGTTTTTATGTTCTTGGGAACTGTTTCCGCTCCTAAGCACACCACTAGCCAGTGCCAGATACATCTGGTACCTTTTAGGATTCAGGGTTACAACCCTAAACCCTAAACATCTGGTTCCTTTTAGGGTTTAGAGTTATAGCATTAAATCTTAAACATATGGTTCCTTGCGGCAGGCAGTTGGAGTTGGATTGCTATGAGTGAATCCTACGACAGTGCGTAAAGACATCGGTAGAGCGCACGCGTATAACTTCTGAAGGTGTGATGTTCGTTTGCGTAGGGTATGTAGCCTGCGTCTGTTGTTTGGTGTGTGCTGTGATGACTATATAAGAGCATCACACTGTAGCACTTTTAACAAAAGCCTTCGATACGACAACACACACAACTAGATATACGTTACAACAAAACACAGAATTAGACACGTTACAAAACACAACTAGACATACGTTACAACAACACACACAACTAGACATACGATACAACAAAACACACACAACTAGACATACTATACAACAACACTCACAATTAGACACACGTTACAACACACAACTAGACATACGTTACAACAACACACACAACTAGACATACGATACAACAACACACACAACTAGAGATACGATACAACAACACACACAATTAGACACACGTTACAACACACAACTAGACATACGATACAGCAACACACACAACTAGACATACGTAACATCAACATATACAACTAGCCATTCGATACAACAACACGTACAACTAGACATACGATACAACAACACACACAACTAGACATATGCCATGGCGTTCTCACTCTCACATACCGACAGCTGTGTGTGGCGGTTCATCGCTTTGGCCACGGGCTTTGATTTGCTGTGCGTGAGAAAAGAAAGCAATGGATTAAAAATGTCATCAATTTGGTGATGAAGGATCGTCCTGGTAGAAGTAGGTTATGATGTAAACAATACTATGGGACCTGATGTCAGTCCCTATACACAACCAAACACATGCACTATATATATATATATATATATATATTATATATATATATATATATTATATATATATATATATATATATATATATATATATAGTGTGTGTACGTATATATATATAC